TGGATATTCCCTGGAATCCTGGCTTTTCTTTTTTCTGAAGTTGATCTGGTACTGGCCTTGAATATGATTAATGTTCAGATTTTGGCTTTGACGGTCCTTTTTCAAAGACCAATTGCTTCACATTCCTTGGTGTTTGCCTTTATGCAAGGCAGTCAGGACTCCATTGATTCCATAGGACCTCAACTTGGTACATTCTGTATTGCAGAAATTTTCTTTTGAACCCACCTGGGATATTCCTTCAGTTCTTTTGACCCAGATTATTTTTCTGGTTGCCATTACTTTGGCTTGCAGAGTTTCAGAATTGGCTGACCTTTCATGTAAGGAACTGTTACTAATGATCCACTGTGATAAGGTGGTTCTGTGGCTTCAGTTGACATTTTTTATGGTGGTTTCTTCTTTCCATTTCAACATGGACATTGTGTTACCCTCTTTCTGTCCTAAACTGCTGATGCCAGGGTGCATAGTTATTCACATTTTGAATGTGGTTAGTGCTATCCAGTGTTACCTGAACTTAACTGCTGCTATTCATGAGTGGGAAGGTTCAAGTGTCATGCAGCTTCCAAGTCTATCATTTCTCAATGGATCGGTTTGGCTTATTTCTCAAGCTTTCGATCTACAGTTGCAAGAAAAAGTATGTGAACCCCTTGGGATTACGTGGAGTTTTGCATGAATTGGGCATAAAATGTGCTCTGAACGTCATCTAAGTCACAACAATAGAAGAACACAGTCTGCTGAACATAATACTACACAAACATTAGATGTTGCCATGGTTTAATTGCACATAACATGTAAACATTCACAGTGCAGGGAGGAAAAAGTATGTGAGGCCCTAGCTTAATGACTTCTCCCAGAGCTAATTGGAGCCAGGAGTGAGCCAACCTTGACTCCAATCAGTGTGATGATATTGGATGTGTTGCTGACCGCTGTCCTGCCCTTAAAAAACACACACCTGTTTTGGGTTTACTGGTTTCAAGAAGCACTGTCTGATGTGAACCATGCCTCGCAGAAAAGAGCTCTGAAGACCTACGATCAAGAATTGTTGACTTGCATGAAGCTGGAAAGGGTTACAAAAGTATCTCCAAAAGCCTTGATGTTAATGTGTCCACGGTAAGACAGACTGTCTACAAATGGAAAAAGTTTAGCACTGTTGCTACTCTCCCTAGGCTTGGTCGTCCTGTAAAAATGACTGCAAGAGCACAGCGCAGAATACTGCATGAGGTAAGGAAGAATCCCAGAGTGTCAGCTAAAGACCTACAGAAATCTCTGGCACATGCTAACATTTTTGTTGACACATCTACAATAAGGAAAACCTTAAACAAGAATGGAGGACATGGGAGGATACCACGGAGGAAGCCATTGCTGCCCAAAAAGAATATTGAAGCACGTTTGAAGTTTGCAAAAGAGCACCTGGATGTTCCACAGCACTACTGGCAAAATATACTGTGGACAGATGAAACCAAGATTAAGTTGTTTGGGAAGAACACACAACACTATGTGTGGAGAAAAAAAGGCACAGCACACCAACATCAAAACCTCATCCCCACTGTAAAACATGGCGGAGGGAGCATCATGGTTTGGGGCTGCTTTGCTGCCTCAGGGCCTGGACGGATTGTTGTCATTGATGGGAAAATGAATTCCAGAGTTTATCAAGACATTTTGCAGGAAAACGTACGACCATCTCTCCGCCAACTGAAGCTTCGCAGAGGATGGATGATGCAACAGGACAATGACCCAAAGCATACAAGTAATTCAACAAAATAATGGCTGCAACAGCACAGAATACGACTTCTGGAGTGGCCCAGTCAGAGTCCTGACCTCAACCCGATTGAAATGCTGTGGCATGACCTTAAGAGAGCGATTCACACCAGACATCCCAAGAATATTGCTACGCTGAAACAGTTTTGTGAAGAGGAGTGGTCCAAAATTGTTCGTTGTGCAGGTCTGATCTGCAACTACAGGAAACATTTGGTTGAGGTTATTGCTGCCAAAGGAGGGTCAACCAGTTATTAAGTCCAAAGGTTCACATACTTTTTCCTCCCTGCACTGTGAATGTTTACATGTTATGTGCAATTAAACCATGGCAACATCTAATGTTTGTGTAGTATTATGTTCAACAGACTGTGTTCTTCTATTGTGACTTAGATGACTCTCGAATATTTGAAAGAAATCTTGCAAGCCAGAAGACCAAATAATATATATAAACAATCTATATGTTGGATCGATCGCAAACCTCTAACACATAACTACCAATGTGAAAAACGTGAAATAAAAATATATATAGTGTTGCGCTCTCAATCCTTCAATCAATATATATTAAAAAATGTGTATTAATAAACATAGATACTTATACTTGTGAATCTTTTGAATCAACTCAAATAACCAGTGTACATGGGGCAAAAATAAATAAACAAATAAAAAATAAAAAATTTAAATAATATAAATATATAATGTATAATTATATATAATATATAATAAATGTCCCAAAAAGTGACTTTGTGCTGAAAAGATCTTCAAATGGCATAAAATCGGTGACTGCTTGTGACTCCTCCCTCAAGTGAAGATATGCGCTCACCTCATAGGTAGCCTGCAATTAGGCTATTAAAGCTTGCGGTTCACCTCCTTTGGAACCTGCTTGTTACGAACTCCTGTTACAAGAAATCCATGGAATGCGACATATATTATGGAATAAATCTCCTCTCCTAGGGTGCCACTCCTCTATCTTCCTGTCTCCATGCGGTTCTCCATATATAAAAAAGATCCTGACATGGTGCTTTATCGTTTTTAAAAAGCTTGCCTTTTATTTGCTTTCAGATGTGACACTCACATGTATTCGGATAGTGGTAGTACAAATGTAATCTCAGACTGCCGCTGACTGCCGGAGCTGTGCGCTCGTGGTCCGGCTGACGGACTGACCAAATCCCCCTGATGAAGCCACGTGACCAGTGGCGTAACGCGTAGGGGTGGGACTGTGAACGTCACTCGGAGGGAGTCAGTCCGTCAGCCGGACCACGAGCGCACAGCTCCGGCAGTCAGCGGCAGTCTGAGATTACATTTGTACTACCACTATCCGAATACATGTGAGTGTCACATCTGAAAGCAAATAAAAGGCAAGCTTTTTAAAAACGATAAAGCACCATGTCAGGATCTTTTTTATATATGGAGAACCGCATGGAGACAGGAAGATAGAGGAGTGGCACCCTAGGAGAGGAGATTTATTCCATAATATATGTCGCATTCCATGGATTTCTTGTAACAGGAGTTCGTAACAAGCAGGTTCCAAAGGAGGTGAACCGCAAGCTTTAATAGCCTAATTGCAGGCTACCTATGAGGTGAGCGCATATCTTCACTTGAGGGAGGAGTCACAAGCAGTCACCGATTTTATGCCATTTGAAGATCTTTTCAGCACAAAGTCACTTTTTGGGACATTTATTATATATTATATATAATTATACATTATATATTTATATTATTTAAATTTTTTATTTTTTATTTGTTTATTTTTGCCCCATGTACACTGGTTATTTGAGTTGATTCAAAAGATTCACAAGTATAAGTATCTATGTTTATTAATACACATTTTTTAATATATATTGATTGAAGGATTGAGAGCGCAACACTATATATATTTTTATGTGACTTAGATGACGTTCAGAGCACATTCTATGCCCAATTCATGCAAAACTCCACGTAATCCCAAGGAGTTCACATACTTTTTCGCAACTGTAAAGGGCCAAATTCCACTTCTTTTGGTGATGGCTTCTTCTACCAAGCATATGGATGTTTCCTGGGCTTTTCAACATCAGGCTTCGTTAGCTCAAGTTTGTAAAACTGCTACCTAGTATTCAGTTCATAATTGTATGAAGTTTTACAAAGTGGATGTTTTGGAGCTGCTTTTTGGTTTACTTGTAAGGCTCTGTTCTGTGACTCCCAAAGTTGTGCTTTTTGTGATTTATCATTGCACTCAAGTCACAGAAAAATAGTGCAGGAACCTTCCTCCTTTTTTTGCTGTGACTCTAGTCACATTGATTAAGACTGCACTCGTTTAAATAGGTTTTGACTTGTCGTGTGACTGTGTTGCAAGTTGCATGATAAGTCACACCAGTGTGAACCGGGTCTAAAATCCTTTTCTTGGAGTACATCATGGGACACAAAGATCGTACCCCTCTTGATTTGTAGTTCATGGCTTGCTACAAAAACAGGGAGGGGCTATGCCTAGAAGGGGATTTCCTCTCTTCTTGTCAGTGTCTAGTTGCATGAAGGCTGTCTCATAACTGTTGTCATGGATTTGAAGATGCTCTGTGTCCTGCGATGTAATTGAAGAAAAGGATTTTAAAGGATAATTGTAAAAATTGCTCTGATCCATAGGCAGTGTTCACGCGTCTACTGCGGCTAACATAATAGTCCACAAATCCTACAAAACATTATGCATTTTCTTTAAAAACTAGAAGTACCTTTTCATTTTCCCTAATCCCACTGTAAAAAATCTTGTTCGTATGCTCGGTTATTGCCAGGGTGTCCTACAGTGTACACACACATCAGATTTCTTTAGTGCTACAGTACTGGATCATGCTTCTGTGAACTCTTCCTCCAGCGTTCTGTGCATACCTCTGCACAGGCTTTCAGTTGAATAGCTGGGGGTAGTGTCAATAGACTACGAGTGTGTTGATAACTGCTCTTGTGTTCCATTGTGAACTAAACATCTGTCTGCTGTGGTGCAGACAGGAGTTGTAGCTCATTTATTCACAGATCTTTCTGAATGAATGATACGACTGTGCAGGTAGAACCCCACACAGCTGAGCTTATTTAAAATTTGATAGCTGCTTTGGGGGAATAAGAACCCCACGCACTTTCACAAGGTGCCTCTTTAGAGGGGTGGGAGGGTTGCTTAGCTACTTGTTACAACTTAAGTACAGGTTTAACATGTTGCTAAAGGTTGATTTTAGTCTTTAAGATTGTAATTTAATTCCATGTAATTATAAACCTTTTTGTTTTCTCCACAGAAAAGTGGACCAAACGTAACCAAGGTTGTCACTGTAGTGACCACGAAAAAGGCTCCTGCTGAAACAACAAAGAAAAAAGGAGAACTCATGGAAAATGATCAAGACGCCATGGAAGTAAATAACGTTCAAGTGTTCTGTGTTAATTCTTCTTCATGGTTTTGTGTGATTGCCTGTATGCTGTCATGACAGACTTTTGAATATAAATGTGTTTGAAATCTTGGGATTATGGAGATGTCTTTCAATGACACTTAAAGACTCTCTCACATTAAAGTGGTTGTAAACATATTTTTATTTTTAATTAACAAAAATGTTATACTTACCTGCTCTGTACGTTGGTTTTGCACAGAGCAGCTGTGGTCCCCCACAAGCACACCTGGATCCTCCCCCCCGCCGTGTTTCCCCATAGCAAGCCACTTGCTGCGCCTCTGACCAGTGAGAAGAGAGAGAGCTGCCGCTCTCAGGCGCACAGCTGGACTGTGTTTTGGCTCGGAGAAGTAGAAGTGGGGATGGGGGGGAGCTGCATACAGAAGGTTTTTACTTTATTGCAGAGAATGCATTAGGGTTAAAAACTTTCTGCATTTAGAACCACTTTAAGACTATGTTCACACTAGCCTGTATGGTAAAACACAGCATTTTAATGTGTGGGTTGCTGTCAGTGATCTCTCCAGCCACTTCTATGAATGAACCAGGATTTATGACGTGTGGGTAGATAATTTTAAAGGTCTGCCCCTTCCATTCCTAGAGCATGATTCATTAATAGAAACTGTAGTATGACTTGTATAACTGTAGGAGTTGGTCAGAAAGTTTGGACGCTCTGAGGGGTATTGGGGAGGAAGATTTCTTCTAAAGGATACAGCAGCATAAGGGACACATGACATCTGTTGTAAGTAATGTCCCTTGTGCTACTTTTTTTTTTTTTGTGTGTAAACTTAGGCTTTAAGAATGTGTTCGCTACCTCCACACATACCCACCATTTTTTTTATTGCTATGTTTTCGACAAAATTTGAGAGTTTTGTTATGTCAGTTAGGGACCACACTATACACAGAGGGGTCTTGAAGAGCCAGTGTGACCTCCAACTAAATTCACAAATCTATGTAAAATTAGTACCTACCTAATACGTAGTGTTGGCAATTTCTTTAGTGTACATTTATACAGTGGAATCATTGGCCCCATAACCTTCTATACTGATTGAGCTGGACAGGACTGTTGAATGTTAGATATAAAGAGCAGACATCAAGAGCTGCCTGCACAAATCTGTAACAGCTTTCTGTATATCCTGCTTTTTCAAAATGCCAGACATTCTTATTTGGCAAACTTTCTACATTTCCAGATAGTTTTGTAGCTTACCAGGAAGCTTTGCCTTCAAATATTCAGACACATCTTTGTAGTAGTCTGCTTCACTGGCCAGTAGAAATGTAAGCAGAGAGGGAGAGGCTGGGAAATCTTAAGATTCTGAAAAAGTGCAACAGCTTTGCAAAACAGAGGATACTGAAAGCTGTTGCACGTGTACTGTATGTGCAAGTAAAGTTGGAAGAATGCACTTAATACCTGTCGGCAGCTTTCACTAGTCTGCGGTCCAGCATTCATAACTGAAAACATAGGACCCTAAATTTGATAGACAGGAGGCAGAGGGGCTGGATATTCCACCTGTCCTCCCTGCGCACTAAAATGCCAGAAATGAAGCACATCAGCTAGATTCTCCTTTTGCAAGGGGTCCACAAGTGGCATTCCACATATCACCATGTTTGTCATTCAAGCTTTAGAATGCTGATTTATGTTGTGTAGAGGCAGCCAGGGGTGGGCATTGCAGAGTTTAGTTATTTGTGTCCTTGCATTAGCAATTGTTGATCAGTGCACATCAACGCAGCTCAGTGAAGCCTTTGATTTAGATCATCTCGTATGGGGAAGCTTGAATACATTTTGTTAAAGCTAGTCCCCATGTTTCAGTTGGAAAGCGTTCACTAATAGTTGCCACGGCTGTGTGTGCTGTATAAGCTGTAGGTAGCCTCAGTTATGTTCAGTGTACAGAGCTGTGTTCTGGCAATGGGACGAGAACTTCTCGACCCACTCCAGGAACAAAATCGAGTTGGGCTGAGCAGCGCTCGGCTTTTGACAGGGAGCTTTGTATTCTATGAATGAATGCAAAACTTTCTCTGATTGGCGTTTAAGGGATGAGAAACTCCGGGCCACGGGGTCAGCAATGGCTTACTATGGTTTTTGGTGGTGGAAGTCAGATGGGCCATGGTGATCCCTCCTTGGCAGCAGGTGGGAGACGAAAGCCTTTCCAAAAGAAATTTTTTTGGGGGGTCAAAAGGACCGACTGCAGGAAGAGAAGGAACAGCCTAAAAAAGCACAGCACTGGCCAGGTAAACTGAAGAGCAACGTCCTGTTTGGCTCTTCTGGCCAAACCCCAAATAGCAATGACTACAGGACACCAGTGGTGGGGGAAGACTGGCTACCTAACTACCTCAACAGCAAAGGATTACAGCCAACAAGTATGTTCTGAACATCATTGCCAAGGGTTGCGCTCTGGAGTTCACTGCTGTTCCTCCTGAGAGGTTCCTTTTGACAAACTTTCAAGAGCTCCTGAAAAGGCTCAAGTGCTTCCTCTTCTCCTGGGGGAAATGGTAGACCAAGGGGTGTTCGTCCCAGTTTCAAAGAAAGAAAGGGGAAGAGGGTTCTATTCCCATGTATTTGTAATCTAGAAGCCGTCGGAAAAGTTTTGCTTAATTCTAAAGCTGATACTCTTGACCAAGGCAATTCGCTACAAAAGATTCCGTATGGAGTCTATTTTCTCTGTAGGAAATATTCTTAAATCAATTGTGTTCATAGCAGCTATGGATTTGAGGGATTTACATAGTTAGTCTGGCTGAAAAAAGACAAAGTCCGAACTGCACATTCCAGATGATCTCTCTTTTCCAAGCCTGTAGACTTTACCTTACACATTAGCCGTGTGTGGGGAACTGTGTCAAATATTTTGCAAAATCCAAGTATACCACTTCCACAGCCACCTCCTGTGCCTATCTTCACATACCCATTCGGGAGGACTCCCAGAAATTCTAATGACTGATGTGAGCAGATGTGGTTGGGGAGCCCATCTAGAAGGGCGACTGGCCCAAGGAAAGTGGACCCCAGAAGAAGCTCAGGCCTCTCCAAATTGGAGGGAGCTTATGGCAATAGCAAAAACAATATCATATTTTCAGTATCACGTGAGGGGGCATCATGTCCCCGGCCCTGTCTGACAATTCAGCCACAGTGGTATAAATAAACAAGGGGGCTCCATGAGCCCATCCTTAATCAGAATTTCAGGTCAGATCTGCTTGTGGGCAGGAAAGATTTTATTATCCCTATTGGCGGTTCACATAAAAGGGGACCACAATCAAGTGGTGTATTTCCTCAGCCACCTGGAATAGTCACAGGAAGAATGGAAGCTACCTACAAAAGTGTTTGGGGGGATTTCAGCGCGTTGGGGTACGCCAGAAATAGATCTATTTTGCATCAGCCAGGAATGCAAAAGTGGATCTTTTTATTCGCTAAATCCATAAGATTCAGTCCTGGTGGTCAATGATCTTCAGAATCCCTGGCATTTAGGGAAGTGCTACGCCTTTCCCTCAGTTCACCTAATTCCCTGGGTCCGGAACAAATTTCTACAGCAACAGATGTTAATTTTGATTGTGCCATTTTGGCCCAATTGTAAAAACTGGTTCCTGAAGAACAAATTTTGAAATCAAAAGGGCTCTTGGATAAGTTGTGGCAACATTACGGACTGCCAGGAAGCGAAATACTAGAGCCATTTACAAGAAGATGTGGAAGAAATTCAATTCTTGGTGCTGAGAAAATGGTTGGTCAAAAATGGATACACCATCCTTCAGATCCATCCTTCGGTTCTCGTGGATAACTGGTCATGGGCCTGAGGGACCGCCTTAAAAGCCTGAAGGGGCAACATGCTTCCTGATTGGAGGGAGAAGCTTCATCTCTCAAGAGCTGTCCTGGAAGATTACTGGAAACAGACTTACCGGCGTGTCTAACTCTGGTTTTCTAATATGCCCCAATATAATCCAGTTGTGATGGGCATCTGACAGTTCTTTAGACATGTTTGCTTATGAGTAGCATTTTACTTTTTTTTTCTCTTGATAGTTGCTGATTTGCAGTGTAATTCCTTTTTTCTTAAACACAAGTGTGCTGTCTGACTGCATGTAATACATGTAACTTAACACCTGAAATCTGTGTGTAAGATGCAGTAAAATGTGTTCCTTTTTCTATCTATAGTATTCTTCAGAAGAAGAAGAGGTAGATCTCCAAACTGCTCTGACTGGCTTTCAAACTAAACAGCGCAAACTGCTGGAGCCTGTGGATCATGGAAAGATAGAATATGAACCTTTCAGGAAGAACTTTTACGTGGAAGTTCCAGAGCTTGCCAAAATGACTACAGAAGGTAAACTTATTTTCTCCTGTACGCTATTTCCATAAACACCTTAGTGTTCTTAGTTTTAGGTTTAGTAGTAAGTGTATGCTGTGTACATTTACTGCTGCATGATGGCCCCTGTGCGCAGGATCACGTGTATATATACCTGAATCTGCATTTCCATGTAGGGGGTGCGCACGCCCTATCTGCGCAACTGATCGCGGCCCCGGTGTCAATGACCGGGTCCCGGCCTGTGATTACCCACCGGCGCCCGGTAATTATCAGCGATCACTGACAAACTATGTGCCCAAACGGACGAACCCTGTCAGTTCATGGAGCCTTAAACAGGAGTACAAAAATGCTCGTAGTGCAAGTTCTGTTTTAAAGGTTTTTTGCTGTCCACTACTGGCACCTGCAGTTTAAATTTTAAGGAGTAATCGCTTTCAGTTAATTTTTTGTTTCTCGTTATCCAATGTTTATAAGCCTCTTGTAGTAATATGTAATACCGTTTACTCTGTTCTTTTTGTTCTCTAGAAGTCAGTGCCTACAGACTAAGTTTGGAAGGCATTACAGTACAAGGAAAGAATTGCCCAAAGCCAATCAAGACCTGGGTACAGTGTGGGATATCTATGAAGATTTTGAATGCACTTAAAAAGTAAGTTTTTTTTTTTTTTTTTTTTATCCTTGATGAAATCCATGCAGTTTGGTTTGCTGTGTTTTGCGCAGACTTGCCGCAACTGTGCTGTGCTTCAGCAAGTGCTGCTATGGTTCATATACCAGAAACAAGGCGGAGTTTGTGCTTTTGCACAGATGTGCTGCTGGTCTCTGCCTGGTGTAATTTGCTCCTGCTGCTGTCAGTCACAGCCAGTGAGGAGGATAGGTTCATAGGATTCACAGTACTGAAACCCAATGGGGATTATCATCCTATCCTGGACCCTAAAGCAGAACTATACTCTTGTGGAGTCCAGCAATGCGCCATCCCAAGAACTCCCTGCTGGCCTCTGACCTCTTCAGGCGGCCAGTTTCCGGGTCTTGATTGCTGGCCACTGTCATTGGGTGGGTGGATAGGATGTCACTTCCGTGCATGCCCGGGAATTCTGTCAGATTCAGAATTTCCAAATTTGTGCAGTGCGCTGCTCTTACACAGCTTACTGTACAGGGGTGGACAGAGACAGGTAAGTAGCTTTAATTCAAAAGAGACCAGTCATGTCTCTCCTGCATTAACCACTTCAAGTCCGGACACTTTTACCCCCTTCCTGTCCAGGTCAATTTTCAGCTTTCAGCACTATCACACTTTGAATGACAATTGCGCGGTTATGCAACACTGTACCCATATGAATTTTTTAGCATTTTTTTTTTAAACAGATAAAACTTTATTTTGGTGGTATTTATTCACCACTGGGATTTTTTATTTTTTTTGCTATATAAAGTCTAAAATTTTGAAAAAAAGTGTTTTTTCTTACAAAATTTTGCAAATAAATAATCTTTCTTCATACATCTTGGCCAAAATGTATTCAACTATCTTTTTAATAAAAAAAAAAAAAAAAAAAAACCAAATTAGTTTATAACCAAAAATTATAATTTTTCTAAAAAATGTTTTACTGTTTTATTTTAATTTTTTTTATATTTTTTTTTACATACTGTCACCCTAGCAGTACAGTGTCACCATAGTGTACTACTTGTGGGGGGAGATGAAGGTTTTTTTTAAAAAAAAAAAATTATTTAAACTGATTGCTTTTACACCCATAAAGGCTGTAAAAGCAATAATTTCTCCTTCTCTCTGGCTTCATTCTTGCAGCCATTGAGAAATACTGTGTTAGCTGTGATTGGTCACAGCTTGTCACATGGTACAAGGCTATTGTGAATAGCCTTGTACCATGTGACCTCTGTGATCATTCACAGATTTCACACGTAGTAAGCAATGATGTCAAAAGTGACATCTTGTTTACTACTCTTCATGTGATCACTGATTGGCCAATCAGTGAGCACATGATCGGGGTCTCACACAGAGGTTCCGTACAATGATCGGTGTTCCACTGTGTCCGGAGGACACAACGGGCACCGGATTGCCGTGCTGCACGTTCCCAGGGAACGTTCCCAGGGAACGCGCACAAGCAGGGAGCGGGGAGGCCGTTTATAAACGTCCACCCGCCCTTGCCCTGCTCCCATCCGGCCGTTTATATACATGGGCTGGATGGGAAGTGGTTAAAAATCCTGCCTGTCCTCCCATGTTTTTTCCTAGCCTGAAGTTCTACTTTAACTACCTAAACAAGTACCTTTTGTGTTTCAAAGCTTTGCAAGGAATCCGCAAGGTTGGCGATTCCCTGTCGGAGATGAGGAGAAAACCTAGCCTTAGTAGACGTTCAAGATGCCTACTTGCATGTTCCCATTTACCCACCTCATCAGTACTTTCTGTGCTTCGCAGTAGGAGACAACCAATTTGTCACACTTCCATTTGGCTTATCCTCTTTACCCATTTTTTATATTCACAAAGGTGCTTCTAGCCCTGCTCACAGACTTAAGAACACAGAGTAACCTAGACAACCTTCTGAAGGATTCATTTCCCTCACAGTCAGGCGGGTACCAGGAGTCAGACAGCCTTAAAGGAAGTAAATCTGATTCTCTCACGTGCAGAGAAACTGTCCAGAAATCTCTGCAGTTCACCTCCCAGGAGTGTACAGATGGAAGGTGAATTTCTTCAGTTGTCACTTCCTAGACCAAGCAGTGCAATCTGTTATCCTCAGTTTCGTATCAGAAATGGGGAGTCCACATGTTGATATCCTTGCTTCCAGTTTAAAAATGACAAAGTACCCCTGTTTATGGCCAGGACCAAGGAGTCTCCAGCACTCATTAGCAATTAGCTCTGGTAATACCCTGGACTCCTTTTAGATTAACATATGCCTTCCTTCTAGTGCGGTAAAAACTTTTATTCAAGGGGTCTCGCACATCAGACCCTCATTACAGCATCTCTTGCTTCCTTGTGATCTTAATTTGGCTCTCTGCCCTGTGGAAACCACCCTTTGCATCAGAGATAACCTAAGGGGAGTTCTCTAATGGGTTCAAAGTAGGAGAGATGGTGGCTGTTGCATCTGTCAGATGTATTTAAATTAGTGGCGCTTTCTTTTAATGAGCTCTTCCTAAAGCGAAGTACACATATACAGTTTTGTCATTCAACCAGCAGCTTGAACGGAAAAAAAAATTGACAGATCCCTGCATCAATACAAGCGATGTTGATGCCGGGATCAATCCTCCTGTTCTATTGTATTCTGACAATACAATATACGGATCAATGCTTGCAGCCATTGGCTGCAAACTCTGATTGGATGTTGGTTTTCCATCATGACCTTGCGGCAAAGGTCGGACATTAGACTGGCTTTTGTTGAACAGGGAGGAGTACACATGAACAAAAAGTCGTCTAGTTCCTGCTGAATTGTTCAAATTTCTGTATCTGTGTACCAGGCTTAATTCATCACAAGGATAAGGGGTTCTTGTATTCATGATTCTCTTATCTACCTAAGGTGGTATCAGCCTTCCACCTCACTGAAAATATTGTTCTTCCTTTCTTTGTGCCTTGCTCCTAAGCACCCCAAAGAAGTTGCTCTCCATTGTCTGGAAGTGGTCAGATATATCAGAGTTTATCTGAAAGCCACAGCCCCTATCGGAAAACTAGACTGTCATGCATAGAGGCTCTTGGAAGAGTCATCCTGCTTCCAAATCCATTATTTCCAGGTGGAAAAGACAACTCTGTGCTTGTGCATATATGCCATTTGAAATGAAATCTACACCACTCTCTTTCATGCTCACTCCACCAGATCATTAGGGGGGTTTCCAGCATCAAGATTCTGTTGTCCAGCTTTTTAAGGCTGCCATCTGGTCTTCTGTTTGTACCTGGTCCAAGTTTTACTAGGTGGATGTCCAGGCTTCTGCTGATGCAGCCTTCAACGGCAAGGTTCTTTTATTGGCATCCTGAGTTGGGTCCTTGTTTCTTATTTGTTTTATTGGGCCCCTTTGCCTGGTTCTGTTTGCCTTGTTGTTACCCATTCTTCTGTTTCATTGCTTGGGGACATCCTAGGGTCTGTGAATATTATGCCTGTGCCCTGTTCTGTACTGTTAAGATAAAAGGAATTTTGACTTGCCTGTAAATTCCATATCGTGGAAACGCTTTGCCAATCTCCAGTCACCTGAAGGTAGCATCCTGTAACCCAGTATCCAAGAACTTTTATTCTGGGTACTTTTCTGTTTTATGCAATGTATGGACCAATGGATACGGAATTTACAGGTAAGACTAAGTTCCTTTTTCAGTTAAACATGACTGAACTTTGAACTTAACCCAGTGATTTAACAGTTTTCAAAAAAAAATTATATTATATTATACCTTAGATTGTACGCTCCTGGAGGGTTAGGGACTGATGTGAATGTACAATATATATGTAAAGTGCTGCGTAAATTGATGGCGCTATATAAGTACCTGAAATAAATATTCAAGGCATGCCATGAATGAAAACAATCCTTTGCTTGTGCGCTTAACCACACTGCTATAACGACCACATGTGCAGCACCATGGCAACTGCAGATCACAGGCGAATATGTCAGCTTCCTTGGCTGTAATGGATGGGTTTAGTTCCGCCTAAGGAAGGGGAATTCTAGAACCTCCGTCAGTTTTTTTTTTTATGTTACCTGTTGCAGATTTTTCCTTCACTTCCTGTCTGGTAAAAGGTTGTCCCCAGAACAGAAAGTAAGGATAAATCTCTCCAAATAAGTCACGGATTGCAGTAATATCTGACAGGTGTTCAAATTATTTCCTTGCAAATTAATCTTCCTTCATATTTGTTCTCTAGCTAAAATAGGCAGTTTAGATGTTGATGTAACTTCCTGTTCAAATGCGTAATTGTATGTGCTAGGGGGAGTACAACTGGGGGAATCAATGGTGGAGAAAGATCTGGTTGTTCTGGTAGATCATAAGCTTAATAATAGCATGCAATGCCAAGCTGTGGTTTTCAATGCGAACAAAATCTTTTCTTGTATTAAGAAAGTTCAGAGACTCCAGAGAGAGCGAGTTATAATTTTATCCCTTTACAAATCATTAGCAAAACCTCATCTGGAATATGCAGTTCAGTATTGGGAATCCGTTCACAAAAAAGGATATTGTGGACCTGGAGAACGTGTAGAGAAGGGTAACCAAGCTGATAAGAGGCATGAAGGGGCTCAACTATGAGGAAAGATTGGAGGAACTAAATTTATTGTCTCTTGAGACTAGGAGATTAAGGGGAGAGAAATGATCAACATGTATAAATACATAAGTGGTCTATATAGTGAACTTGGTGTAGAGTTATGCATTTAAGGTCTTCACAGAGGACAAGGGGGCACTCTTTACGTCTGGAGGAAAGGAGATTTAATCCTCAAATACGCAAAGGTGGTTTCACAGCAGAAGAGCTGTGGAAATGTGGAATAGACTCCCAAGAGCTGGTTCCTGCCAGCTCAGTAGATTGTTATTAGAAAGGCCTGGATTTTCCTCTAAATGAACATAATATTACTGGATACTAATATTTATAGGTAAAGTTGATCCAGGGAATATCCGATTTGCATTTTGGGGGATCAGACAGGAATTTTTTTTCCCCCACTCCAGCATCATGCTTTATTTGGGGTTTTTTGCTCTTCTGGATCAACTGTGGGTATTGAAATAGTGTATATGGAGGTTTTCTATTTGTTTGTGGGTTTTTTTTTTTTTTGGGGGGGGGGGGAGGTTTCCCCTCTGTTGGTTGAACTGGCTGGATTTGTGTCTTTTTTTTTTTTTTTTTTTTTTTTTACCAGATCTACTATGTAACTATGTATATTTTACAAGCAGTGGTTTATATTGTTTTTCTTTTGTTATCTCTAACACCTTTATGGTAGATTGTTTTGGGGGAAAAAAACCTAAGTGGATATAAAAAAAAAAAAAATCTCTTGCTGTTTTACCAGGCACTCATATGAAAAACCAACTCCAATCCAGGCACAAGCTATACCTGCAGTCATGTCTGGCCGTGACCTAATAGGTATTGCCAAAACTGGAAGTGGAAAAACAATTGCCTTCCTTCTGCCCATGTTTCGCCATATTATGGACCAGAGACCTCTTGAAGATGGCGAAGGGCCAATAGGTAGGTAACACAATGTCCTTTAGCAGCCTTCTGACCTTTAATTTTAATTTTTGTGTAGATGGCTTTATACCCCTTTTTAACATTGATGTCTATACAAATGTGTCCTTTTGTTGTGTCCTTTATAGTAATAAGAATTTGTAATGTTTCTATGAAACTTCCTTGTAATATGCTATGTTTGTGCACGATTCTAAATATAATCGCTGTTAAAGTGAGCTCAAAAAGTGAAAATTTGCCTACTTATAGAAAACCCCTAGAGATGTTATTTCTGCCTAAGCAGTATCCTGAAAGATTTGTCTTTATGATTTGAACACCTTCTGGAAAAATAGAAGTGCATTTCCTATGCTTTGAGCCGCATAGATGTATATTTTTAGTATGAGATTTGTTGATGCTTGCACTGTGCTGCTCACTGTACTTGTGAGAGCTTGATGGAGAGGAAGCTGTACCCGAGAACCAGCAGTGCAAGGATCTTTGTTTTTACTTTAATTCTGTAGATCTGTGCTTCCTCATATTTTCCTGCTTCTTGATCATTACCTCACCAGGCATTCAAGGGGGAATCAGGTCTGACATTAGGGAGGCAAAGTTCTGCATCTGTCAAGATGGCTGCCTCACAATAGACATTACAGAATAGAGCATGGTAGGTAACAGGGAATAGATCAGCTGCAAGTAGAAGACAGAATAGTAGTGGTGATTCATTCTTTTGTCTGTCTCAGCTTCCACAGTTCCAGCCATTTTTTATTTCCTTTTGTTACTCGCACATTTATTTTTTTGGCTTTCATTTTTTCAATTATTTTTCTTACATCAAGTCTTGTATCAACACCACTTCTCAAGCTTGTCTTTTTGGTTGTAGCTATCGGCAGCTGGCATCTTTAGCCTGGCTTTTGGAGTGCTGTGGCCAGACCCACTAACTTGGACATTGCAGGTATAGCCTGGAAGTGACCTTTGAGTACTACGGGCACTTTGCAAACCCTGTTCCGGTAAATTGGCTGCTTTTCTTGGTGCAGAGCCACTACCATTGCCTCAGCAATTGCCCTATTCACTTTTGTGAGTAGGCCACTTGGGCTACACACCAAGAGCTTTCCTCGTTGCCTTCAGGCACTGGATTCTGTGGATTATTTTTCAAACTTTGTTCTCATAAAAGTGAGCTGTTAATGGTTTCCAGGTCCTGAGCTGCTAAAATTTCCTCAGCGGTTGCCCTGCCTCTGAAAACTGAGCTACTTCATTTACATAGGTCTCTGAGTGTCTTTTAAAATTCCGTTTTTCACCAGTTTCTATTATGTAAAGGGGTTAACATTGTGGGAGTGCTGATGTCATATACTGGGTTGAGCGTTGCATGTCGTCTCTGCTGTTTCCTACCACACAGTGTTTTAAAAGCATCTCCATTCTACTACTTATGCTTGCTCTTTTTGTCTTGTACCGGTTTAGGGAGGATGTTGCACAAGAGCTGCCTATCCCCACTGTGGTTCCATCAGTGTCCTCCTTTTAACGTGCTTGTCTTTAAAGACCCCAACTAATGGTTGGAAACCCTGTTTAGAACAGAGGTATTAATGGTGGGTCTTGCCTTTCACCCCATCCTGATTGTGCCTTTACTTTCTCAAACCATAGCTAACCTATCAAAATTCCTTAAAATAGACCTCACTACAGCTACAGTTGATCCCTTCGGCAGCTCATCTGCACCTTGGGTGTTCACCAAGGTGACATCCCTATTGTGGGATACCTAGATATCCTCCTGTTGAGGGAACATTTGACATGGGCTCTGTCAGACAAAATTGCTTTGACTTTTCAGATGGATCCTGAACTGTCAGAAATCATTGCTGGCACTGAATCATTTGGAGTATCTCGGTCTAGCTAAGGCCAGAGTGTTTTTACCACAGGAGAAATTTTAGATTTGAACTTTCCAGTCCAGGAATCCTCAAACTCTGAGCTTTTATTTTTCATGAAAGTCTTAATGACAGCTTACTTT